CGCGGCCCCCGGTTGTTTCGGCCGCTTTTGTGACTGCTTCTGCTCCGTCCCCTCATTCCCCCCTCGCGTCTACGTGCGGTACTCCGTTCCCTGCTTGTGGCGCCCCCCTTTCCCAAATTCGGGAAAACCATCCCGACCCTGATAATTGGCGTTGACCAAGCGGCCCTGGGCGTTTACTGAAACAGCCCTGCCCTGCTCGATTCCTTCCTTGGGTGCGTTTACTAGACGGCTTCGCCTGTCGGGGTGTTTATCTGTCATAGGGGTGGATTATCTGCTCTGTATTCTCGGCCTCCTCCGTCCTCGTCCTCCCTCCCCCATTCTCGCCCCGTCCTCCGTCTCCTGTGTCCTCCTCTTTCTCCGCCGCCATGTGCTCCCCCCTTCTGCTCTGTCCTTGATTGTCCCCCCCCCCTTCCTAGTCCTTTTCCCCTCCTGACAATTGTACAATCTGAATATGTACTGCTGTCCCGTCTCCCCCGAAGACGCAGGTGAGGTGTCCTGGCCTCCTCTGCGTATTGTGTTTTAACACAGGATGCCGCCGAAATGATAAATGAACAGGTACTTTTTCCAATCCGAACGCTTGCGTCCTCTCAGAATGGCGCTCCCGCTGGCGTTGGGTACATGTTCTCGTTTTCAGTTCTTCCGAATCATGTCCCCGCTGTAGCGCTGATCTCATTTCATTGTTTCGGTTCTTCCAGATCGTGTTCCTGCTACCCCGTCGACTTCGTTTCCGCGCTCCCAGTCCTTCCAAATCGTGCTCCCTCTGCAGCGCTGGTCTCATTTCCGCAGTTTCGGTCCTTCGAAGTCGCGCTCCCGCTGCACAGGATGCCGCCGAGTTGATAATTCATCTGTGTTTTTGTCCAATCCGAGCGTTTTTATTCCTTTCCGCCTGGGGCTCTCGCTGCAGCGTTGGCTCCATTTTCGCTTTTTCAGTCCGTTCAGATCATGTTCCCGCTGCAGCGCTGACCTCATTTCATTGTTTCGCTTCTTCCGAGTCTTCCAAATCGTGCTACGACATGCTACGTTATGCCGTGCTCTTCTATGCCATGCTTTGCCGAGCGATACCATGCATCGCATACTCTCCCGGGATCATTGCCCTGTTCGACATCCGACTGTGCGAGTAGAGAGGATGTCTACGCAATGGTAAGGGATGCGAGAGAGGGGTAGGACGTCAGATATATGACGCTTGCGCACGTTGTTTGCTCGTCTCCCCTCTCCCCTCCCCCTCCCCCTCCTCCTCCTCCTCCTCCTCCTCCTCCTCCTCCTCCTCCTCCTCCTCCTCCTCCTCCTCCTCCCCCTCGTTTGTGTGAAAGAGCCATGGCATGCGTGCCACTGATTCTTTGCTCCTCGATAATGAACGGAACCTAGAGGGCCACCTTCAGCGCTTCGCCGCTTGCACGTCTTTAGCAGTCGTTGCGCCTACATTCTGGCTAGATGGCGTGCATTCCCTCTTGGCTGAAGGTGTAGCAGTCTCTATTGAACTCATGATGCGAATCAGTCTTTCAAAATATGTGGTAGAGGTACTTGGCCACCCCCGCCATGTTACACTTACCAGCTGCAAGCTATCATCATGTCGGTACTGTGAAATTTCGTCGACCACGGTGTTGCCGCCGCGTTCCACGGGACAATGCTGCGCTCACACCTGAAGACATCGAGGCTTTTCGAGTTGGACGTCGCTGCTTGCGGTGCGGCTATGTGCGCGCAGACGCGCGTCAGCGCAGACTGTGTTTCATTTTAGAAAATGAGGGGAGGAGGATCCCGACAAGGAGGAGTATGACGAGGAAGAAAAGAGGTAACGCGGAGAGGGAGGAAGGAACGTCACGTCATTGTGTTGCATTGCTTTGGGTGTGGGATGTTGCAGTGGCCCTTCAGAAACTGACAGCGTCATTGAATTTGATGGCGAGCGTGCGTGTCGGTGCCATGAACAGTCTTAAGACGTCGGGTCTCATTTCACGGACTGCCAGCGCGTATCTTATGCATGATCAGAGCACGAGCAGCGGCTTTTTGCAATGAATCGTTCGAAGGTACACGGGTTCCGCATGAGCATCTACGCTGTTTCGTGTCGATGTCATGGGTTTCTCGGTCAGTCTCGTACAGATGGGGAAAGCAAACTTGATAGACGGCTAGGGGTTGTGGGCCCATACGGCAGTGCGGCGGAAAACACAGAAAATAGCCCGCCGCCAGGGAATTAACAGCAAGTTCGAGATCGCCGAGACACACTACAAGAAGATGCATAGAATCCAGGGCAAACTGAACGAGACGATTGAAGGATCTCTGGATGCGTGTATCAGGCCAGATCTGCGTTTACCATCTTATTGCTCCAGCTTGCCTTTGTATCCAGCACCAATTAGTGTTGTCACGTCGGCAGAATTCTTCAGTCTTGACAGATCCACCACGTACACGTGACGCCGCTATTTCGTTGGCCCATGGCCTTGCAACTCAAGCCATGCGTCGAACCATATTTTTGGTGTTTGCTTCCTATCCGCAGATCTACACTCAACCGTCGTTCTCATTGAAACACGTCTTCAGTCTCCGTGCCGCGAGTCCGAGTCCGCCATTCTCCTTTGGATTCAAGGTCAGTGCTCTGCACGGCTATATCTCGAAGTCTTTTCTATTGCATGGCGTGACCGGCACTGCTGCGTCAGGCAGAGCCGCAGTCGTTCGCTGGAGCCCAGCTGGGCGCTGTGCGCGTGTCTGCCTCTCGGGCTGTTTTTGTGCTGCAGATCCGCCAGGGCGCAGATTCTTGTGCTCTCGCCAGGGACTGGCAACAGTGCTTGTCAGCCACGCGCAGAGGGGGGTATGGGGGAGCGGGGAAGGCTTCTTAGAAGCCCCCCTGCTTCTTTCTTAGATGGCGCGGGCCTCGTCTGTAGGTGTAGGGCCGGCGCCTTCTAAGAAGCACCCTCCTTCTAAGAAGCTTTCCCCCTTCCCACTACTTCTTGTGCACGCCGCTAAGTTTGTGCTGCAGATCCGCCAGGGCGCAGATTCGTGTGCACTCGCCAGGGGCTGGCAACAGTGCTTGAAAGTCTCCGCGGAGTGTCTCCCCGTGCGCGAATGCTCCGCGCTCGTTGATATCCCTGGGGGGTCGCCCCCAAGGGGGTCTTGGAAGGGGCTGGGACGAGGACAAGTCCGTCCATAGCGTTCCAGCACACTCCCAGAGCGTTCGGGAACGCTCTGAGAAGGCCGCGGCGCCCAAGACATATTCTAGAGCCGCCGGATCTCAGAGATTCTCGATGTATCCTTACAGTGGAGGCCCATGCCAAGAAACACCCTGCTTGCCTCCAGGATGCCCTGGGCTTCTGGGGTTTCGATGGTTTTGCGGTGGAGAGCGCGACGTTCCCACGCCAAAATCCAATGGGCGTCCTGGGGTCTCAGTGTTGGGTTTCTTGTGGAAGGTTTCTTGTGGACTGACCTCCACTGTATCCGATGTTATCCTCGTCCTGGCTTCATCTTAGGGCCCATCCCGCCTCACCAGCGCACCGCGTTTTTTTTTTTTTTTTTTTTTTTTTTTTTTTTTTTTTTTTTTTTTTTTTTTTTTTTTTTTTTTTTTTTTTTTTTTTTTTTTTTTTTTTTTTTTTTTTCATTTTTAATTTTTATTTGTTCTTGTTGTTGTTGAACTCTCATTCTTGAAGAATAATTATTGTTGATCCCCCCCACCGGTGCACATGGATTTTTTTAATTGAAGTGCTCCCCCGGGGCTCGCACCTAGTTTTTCGTCAAGGAAAGTCTTCCTGCTCAGACTGGCCCCCTGGCCCCCGGGTTACAACAACAACGGCTCTCGCTTGAGACTTCCTTTCAATTTAGCCAGGACCCCCGCTCCCGCCCGAGACTTCCTCGCATTTTACTCAAGAGTCGCGCTCTCGCTTGGGACCTCCTTACGATTTATTCAGGAATCGCTCCTCCTGCGCTCTGGAGTCGCGCTCTCGCTGGAGACTTGCTTGCAATTTACTGAAGAATAGCGCCCTTGCGTTGGAATGTAAAGGCTGCCGCCTCTGCCGCCGACCCCGATTGAGGCGACGTATGTTTTATTCATTCGTTGTCGGGGTGTCTTTCCAAGTACGACAGGGTTCCGTTGAGACTTCCAAGACTGAGCCTCGCCGCCTGGATTCATGATTCTCCGTTGCATTTCGGACACTCCCCTTTGTCGAATGGCCTCCCGGCCACAGTGCCTAGGTCGTAGGTATTCAGCCTATTGGATGTGCGTGGGGATTTCGTTGTGGACCTTTGCGGCCAATTTGATGCAGTTTTGGAGCCTCGTCGGATCGCTGTTGGGTCCCGTGGGGTCGTCTTGGAGCCTCTTCAGGCCTCTTGGGTACCTCTTGGGGGTTTCGGGGCCCTCTTGGGGGCCTCTAGGCCAGTCCTGGGGTTGCATGGGGAACCTCGGGCTGTCTAGGAGCGTCGGAAAGAAAACACGCGAGTACGCCGACATTTTTCAAACAACGACGGCAAGTCAATTCGGGCATCTTCGAGGCCTCTTGGGGCTTTCTGGAGGCCTCTTGCGCCATGATGAGGCCATGTAGGGCGTCTTGGGGCGATGTTTGGGTGTTTTGGGGCCGTCGTGGGCCTCCGTGGGCCCTGTTTTCCCGTTTGGGTGCCTTCTTTGCTCCGAAACAGTCACGCGAGAAATGCGAGAAGCCCCAGGAGAAGATTTCGCGATGCGGGGTCTAGGTCCCTGAATGATTCTTCAGGAATGACGGGTGAGGTTGCGAGGACGATGGAAGGACTTGAGGGCGCGCCCACCCCGGGCCGAGAGGCACGGTGGCGGATCCACATAACCATGACAATATGATGATCATTGTTCTGACGGATCGCACCGCGTTTCTGAGCTCCTATGGTGGAGCCGCTTGGGGGTATTTCAAGTTGTTTTTGGTTGGCATCGTGGGGTGTGGCAGTGGGGGGCTCCTGGTGCGGCAGGGATCGATGGGGATGTGCCAAGTCTGGGGAAAACCGCCCACAAGCTTCTCACTCACACTGCGCACACGTCGCGGCGCCTCCCAGGTACACAGGAATCTTGCCGTGTGATGAGGTTCGAGACGAACCCTCTGCGAGTCCGGTATGGCGCCCCAATCTTCGTAACTTTCTCGCCCGACGAAGGGCACAATCTGCTCATGGTCCGCCTGTCGCGCACGCGACGGCAAGACCCTGTGCACGCGGCAGCTGATAATGAAGTGCAGTCGCGGCTGGCGGGGGATCGGGAGTGGCCGCGCGTAGCCCCCGACGTAGACGAGGCGCGCCTGGATCTTCCGATGGATGCAGGACAGGCTGGGGTGCCGACGTGGGCCGAGCGTAGACAAATCCTCGCGCGGGACCCCATGGCCAGCGTTGACGGCTTCCGCATCCTTGTGGACGCGACGCTCCGGCACCTGTTCGGGCTGCGGACTTGCCCGAACTGCCCGCGTTGCAATCACGCCGAGGGGGGGTCCCGTGCCAGGACCTGTTCGGAAGCGACGCCATGCCAGGCGGGGGCGCGTTCGGGCGCGTGGATGCTTACTGCGTGCCCATAGAAGCGCAGAGATCTACGGGATCTTTGCACGGGCACTGCCAGGTATTCGTACAGTGCCTGCACCAGCACACGCCGCTCGAGGAGGTGTTCGAAATCGTCTGTGACGACGTGCAGGACCGGGGCAAGAAGACTGTGCTGGGGTATTTGGAGCACAAGAGTCGCGTCTGTCGGCAGGTTTATTCGCAGCAGGTGTCGGCGGAGGAAATCAATCGGAGGCTGGGGGAGGCGGAGATGTCTTGGCCGGAGTTCAAAGACGAGGGCGGGCTCCTTGGCAGGCCCGCGTTTCAAACCCCGCGCTCTCCATGCAAAAGCATCGACGACAGAGGCTCAGGACGACGCTGTGGCATGGAAGAAAGAATATCTGGACGCGGACGTACAGTACTTGCAAGAGAGGAAGCATAGCCACGTCCATCTGAAAAATGAAGAGACTGGGGAGCGAGTACCTCTGCCAGCGTGCTGTCGGAAGGACAACCCGAAGTTGTGTAAGGCGGATTTCCCCCGCACGGCGCAGATCATTGACCGCGCCATCGTCGTGTGTCCGGGGCAGGCGGTGGCGTTGGACATGCCGAGGGCAGGGCGTCGATATCGGACTGGCAGCCTACGCGGGCCGATGAATCACGCGAGCCTCAATGGCACGCATCCGTGCATGTTGTCCGCGCAGCGATTGAATTCGGACGTGCAGCTGCCGTATCGATTTCCCATCGCGAAGGTCTGTTCACGTGCCAGAAAGCATGCGACAAGAAGCTCGACGACGCAGCGACCATCAGGGTCGCGCAGATGGCGCAGGACGCGCAGGCAGGATACGCCTGCGACTACTGTACGAAGCGGCAGCCCATGGCTTTCCACGAGGTGAAAGAGTGTTGCAAAGGAGTCGAGAAGCTCGGCAGGCAGCTGCAGGGCGAGAGCGTGAATCGTGTCGGTAAGAGGGCAGCCAACCGAATCATGAGCGACGCTGATGGCAAGGGCATCGTGCGCGACCAAGTCGGATGTGCAAGCCTGAGGGCCTTCGCGCGAGAGGGCGACGTGACTGCGGCGGAGGCAATGAAGTCCTGTGAGACGGCAGCGTTGTACGGGCGCGAGTACGTGGACTTGGTCGAGCGCTTGGCAGACCGCGCGTCTGGGGGTCGCAAAGCTCAGTTTGCCGAAGTTGACATGCGGCAGAAGGGACGCCGAAAGGTGACTGTTCGAAATGTGGGCATGTTGTATGGGCTGCGTCCGAAGAGTTCCGGCCTGTGGGACCTATCTCCGTATGAGTTCGCAACGTACTGGACGCCGGTGTTACTGTCCTTCCCGACGAGAATCGCAGATGCGGAGAATCCGCGCCATCGTGCAGTCTTGACGCAGTGGGGCAAGGACAAACTGCGTCAGGGGCGGGGGAACGCGAGTCTGGAGGAGGACTTGGTGCCCGGGGTGGACTACACGGTGAAGGAAGACGGAGGTGACGATTGGGTTCCTTATCCGGACACCGAAGGGTGCGCCCGCCTTCGCCACACGTGGGTTCTCATGCGGAATAGGAGGCCCATGGCACCTACTTTTTATCGGAGCGCCCGTGCCGCGCGGGCGTCCAGGGAAGCGGAGCGGTCGGCGCGTGTCGTCATGACGTATTTCCACCCGTGGACCCTGAGGCCCGACGTGGCGGACCAATACGTAGTGTTCGCAGGGGGCCTGCGTGGCGAAGCACCGTCGTGGGACGCAGCCATTGTTGAGTGGCTGGGCGGCGGAGTGCGGGCGAAGGAGGCCGCGCGGTACGTGGGGAACCTCCTGGGTGTGTACCGCGTCCGGCCACGGGATGCTGGCGAAGCGGAGGAACGGAGCGACGAAGACGTGAGCGACATGGAATTTGACGTGGGCTTCGATCAGCGCGACGAGGCGCTGAAGTCGCGCGTGGGGGGGAAGCGACGGAAAGACGGGGACGGAGACAGCGCCAGCGAGGAGGAGGGTCAAGACGACGGGGCGGGAGGCACATCTCATTACGACAACTCGAAATGGGGCATGGCTGTGGCGCAGCAGGCGTGGGGGCTCCGGGACGGCGAAACGCCGCTCAGCGAGTTAGCAGCCGCTTGGCCGGCAGATCAGGCTTGTGACTTGGACTTGGTTTTCCGGGAAGCGCGGAAGTCTCGGAACAAAGAGTGTTCCATGGCCGACAGGATGGCGGACGCCGCTGGAGGGGTCGTTGTCGCGGGCGCGGCCGCCACTTCGGATGACGTGGCCAGGTGGCTCGCGGACCTCGAGTTCCGGGTGAACAAGGACACGGGGCGGCGCGTAGTGAACGCGAAGCAGTTCAAGATGGTGAAGAAGGTGGCGTGTCGGGTAATGCAGGAGATCGATGGCGAGGGAAGGGGTGAAGCGGCCATGGGGGAACCCCTGCAATGGTGTATGCACGGGGTCCCTGGGACGGGCAAATCACACGTCTTGCGCATTCTTCGCTACGAACTGTTCGAAGGATTGATGAAGTGGACGATTGGGGTGAACTTCCAAATCGCCGCCCTGCAAGCCGTCCGTCATGGCGCAGCTGTTTGGAGGGGACACCATCCACCATGCGTGCGGCATACCAGCTATCAAGCGGGGAGCCGACCAGGGGGAGGATGTGAAGCTGCAGTGCGAGACTGCCAAGCGCGTGCTCCAGTGGAGGTGGCTGTTTATCGACGAGATCAGCATGGTTAGCGCCAGACTCTTGGCAGAAGTAGACGCGAAACTGCGAGGGGTGATCCGGGATGTGGGCACAACGAAGCGCGGAGACGGAGGCGTGCCGCGCCCGTTCGGCGGTTTGAACGTCGTGCTGAGTGGTGACTTCTGGCGACTGCCCCCCCCCCGACGGTGGCTTCCTGGCGGACGTCCCCACCGAGCGCATATCGGCGGCGCGCAAGTACACATCCCTGCCACCTGTGCTCCATGGCCAATCTCTACTGTGGGGTGGACCCGAGTGCGGGGTGCAGGGCGTGACCGAGCTGGTGGAGTGCGAGCGGTGCGACGACGCCTGGCTGAAGGAGGTGCAGGAATAATTCCGTACAGGGGCGCTGTCGGCGAACGCGCGCGCGTTCTTGCGCGGCAGGGACACCGCCGTCGTTACGGGGAGCTGGCTGCACGGAGACGTGGGTTGCCGGAATCGGGCATGCCAGGAGTTGTGCGATGGCGCAAAGGATGAAGCGGCGGGTGCAGCGGGTCAACGTCGAAGACGCAAGGTAACGTCGAAGGAGATCCGCCAACAGGAGTGTCAGGTGTGCAGAGGGGAACGTTCGCGGCGCCGTCTGGTGGAGGATGGCCCGGGCGATCCGCGTCTGCAGTCGGAGAAGTCCTTCATCGCGCCGGGAGTGTTTCCGAACAACGTCAAATATGAGGCCAACAAGCTCCGAGCGTCGCAGTACGCGCGCAGGCACGGGAAGCCGATGGTGTACGTCCCTGTGCGGGATACGCCAACGCCGGAGACGCTCCGCGAGCGACCAGATCTGGCGCAGCAGAAGATGGCATGGCTCCAACGACACGACAAGGAGAGCGGAGACCTGTACGGCTTCTTGTCCATCGCAGAAGGCGTGCCAGTCGCTCTGACTGATCACGTCGATCGCAGCGAGGACAAGAACCTCCTGCGCGGTCGCGTCGGCCGCGTTCAGTCTTGGGTTTGCGACGGGGACGGAGAGCACGATCGGGTCACGCGCGGGGGTGAGACCACTCTGAAGAAAAACCTCGAAAGTGATTTTCGTGTTGTTCGACGGAAAGGGCGGTCGGAAGCCGTGCAAGTGGACGATCGAGGGATTAAGGACGCCCGGCTTGTACCCGGCGGTTCCGCAAAAGAAGGAGTGGTTCGTGGACAAAGGTCGTCCGCGCCCGCGGCTGAAGGTGAAAAGACGGCAGTTCCCGCTGGCTCCGGCCTTCGGGGTGACGGCCCATACGGCGCAGGTGCAAACTTTTAAGCAAGGTGTCACCGTGGACCTGCGCATTGGCGGGGGCGCGTCACCTTTCTCGAGCTACGTGGCACTGACGCGGGTACAACGCCGGGAGGACATGCTCATCTTTCGTCCTTTCGACATAGCGCCGTATCAGAAGAAGGGCGAGCGGAGGGGGCCGGGATTGCTGTTGCGCACCCTGCGCGGGGAAGTGTTGGACTGGGAGGCGATAGAGAATGGGTTCATGCCGTCTGGCAGGTGCGCGGTCTGCGGATGCACGAAGTACAAGAACATGTAATTACCCGACGGTAGGGCAGTGGAGTCGTGCAGACGGGCTTCGCGTGTGCAGCGCGTGCCTGGAAGACAAGAAGAGGATGGGCACCCCGTGGCAATGCATGGAGTGTTGTCTATGGAAATGCCAGGGGGCGTTCCCCGCCTCGCAGCACCACCCGTCGAAGTTGACAACGCGGCGTTGCGTGAACTGCCCCGAGAGGGAGTTGCCGCGTGTGCGAAATTCGAAAATACGAGGAGGCGTTCGCGCAGTATCAGTGGGAACAATCGGGGAACAGCCGAGGTGGAGGAGGAATGTGCGCAGAGAGTGAAAGAGGCACCTCTTATGCGGTCGCTGCAAGGAGAGCAAGGTCGCCACCCACTTCGCGAAGCGCGACGTCGATGACCCGGAGCGCGTGTGCGACAAATGCAAGAGAGCGGAGAACAGGGAGCAGAAGCGGCGCCAGGGAGAGGCGGAACGGAAGAAGTGTTCGACGTGCCGCGCGGAGAAACCGCGCGACTTCTATTCTGGGTCTCTGTGGGAAGAGAGGCCGCGACCGCGAGTATGCATTGAGTGCGTCGCGCGGGCCGCAGACGAAAGGGGCGAGAAGCACAGAGGCGCACGGAAATATACGAGGAAAGAGATGAAGTCGTGCACGGCTTGCGGCGCGGAAAAGCCTCAAGCCGCATTCTCTGGGAAGATGTGGTCGAAGGTCGCCAGCAAGCATCGCAAGTGCGACGAGTGCGTGAAAGGGGCCAACAACCAGCTCGGGTATTGGAAGTGCGTGCAGTGTAAGGACTCCTTCGAAACCGCGAGGTTTAGCGCGTGGTTGTCAAAGCGAACGACGCAGAGACCGAACGGGACGCAGCGTTGTAATGAGTGCGACGCAGACCAGGAGCGCGGCCGGAAGCGCGTGGCAGACTTGTCGCATGACGTCGTGGCGCGAAAAACCAAACAAAAGGTACAGCGGAATACTGGGGGAGATGAGGGCTGCGTGGAGGCGGAAAGCACAAAGGAAGCGTCCAGAGGCGGAGGGAAAGGAGGGGGATGCTGGGCGTGTCAGGGGTGGCGGGGGGCTCCTGGTGAGGATTTTGTTAAGCGGGGGGTCCTTCAAACCTCTGAAGTCTCCGGGGTGCTACGATAAACTTATGCCCAGAGGCCTGTGGAGGCTGGGTGTGTCAGGGGGGTGGGGTGGGTCCCGGTGAGGATTTTGCTGGCCTCGTTGCTGGCTCGTTGCTGGCGCTGAGTGGGGAGTCCTTCAAACCTACGGAAAGCCCGTGCCCAGAGGCCTCAGCAGGCTGGCTGTGTCAGGGGGGGTCGAGGGGGTCCGGCGAGGATTTTGCTGAGTTAAGAGGTTGTGCAAACCTGCGGAAACCGAGTGCCCAGAGGTCTCAGGAGGCTGGCTGTGTCAGGGGGAGTCGGGGAGGCTCCGTCGAGGATTTGGCTCAGCGGGGGTCGACCATCCACGAACAACTTATGCTGAGAGGCCTCAGGAGGATGGATATGTCAGGGGGAGTCGGGGGAGTTCCCGCGAGGATTTTGCTGAGTGGGGGGTCTTTCAAACCTAGGAAAACTTCGGCCCAGAAGCCTCAGGAGACTGCCTGTGTCAGGAGGGGTCGGGGGGGTCCCGGCGAAGATTTTGCTCCGTTGGGGGGCCTTTCAAACTTACGAAAAACATATGCCCAGAGGCCTCGGGAGGCTGGCTGGGTCAGGGGGGGTGGTGGGGGGGGTCCCAGCGAGGATTTTGCGGAGGGGAAGGGTCTTTCAAACCCATGAAATTTTGCCCAGAGGCCTCAGGAGGCTGGCTGTGTCGGGGGGTCGGGTGGTCCCGGCGAGGATTTTGCTGAGTGGGGGGGGCTTTCAAACCTGCGAAAAACGAATTCATGCCCCGAAGCCTCAGTAGGCTGGCTGTGTCTCGGGGGGTCGGGGCAATCTCGGCGAGGATTTTGCTGAGTGGGGGGCTTCAAGCCTACGAAAACCCATGCCCAGAGGCCTCAGGAGGCTGGCTGTGTCAGGGGGGGTGGGGGGCGGGTCCCGGCGAACATTTTGTGATTGGGGGCCTTCAACCTAAACCCATGCCCAGAGGCCTCAGGAGGCTGGCTGTGTCAGGGGAGTCGGGGGGGGGCCCCGACGAGGATTTTGCTGAGTGGGGGGGCCTTCAAACTTACAAAAAACCAATGCCCACAGGCCTCGGGAGGCTGGCTGTGTCAGGGGGGTCGGTCGGGTCCCGGCGAAGATTTTGTTGAGTGGGGGCGCGTTCAAATCTACGACAAACCCATGCCCAGAGGCCGCAGGAGGCCGGCTCTGGGGGGGTGTGGGGGGGTCCCGGCGAGGATTTTGCTGAGTGGGAGGGCCTTCAAACTTACGAAAAACTTATGCCCAGAGGCCTCAGGAGGCTGGCTGTGTCAGAAGGGGTGGGGGGGGGTCCCGGCGATGATTTTGCTGCGTGGGGGGGCTTGTAAACCCACGAAAAACTCATGCACAGAGGCCTCAGAAGGCTGGCTGCGTCAAGGGGGGTGGGCGGGGTCCCGGCGATGATTTTGCTGAGTGGGGGGGCCTTCAAACCTACGAAAAAAACCATGCCCAGAGGCCTCAGGAGGCTGGGTGCGTCAGGGAGGTGGGGGGGGGGGCCGGCGAGGATTTTGCTGAGTGGTGGCCTCGAACCGAACGAAAACCCATAGGCCTCGGGAGGCTGGCTGTGTCGGGGGTGGGGGGGTCCTGGTGAGGATTTTGCTGAGTGCACAAGGTGAGTGGCCTCATGAGGCTGGCTGTGTCGGGGGGGCGGCGGGGGGGTCCCGAGCGGATTTCTCGGCTGAGTATGGGGGGGAGGCTGCCCCTCAGTGGCTGGACTATGGCTGTGTCAGGGGCTGTGGGGGGGTCCTGCGAAGATTTGCTGAGTTGGGGGGGGCCTTCGACCCGCGAAAATCCAATGCCCAGTAGGCCTCAGGGGGTGTTGTGTCAGTGAGGGTGGGGTGGGTCCCCGCTAGGATTTTGCTGAGTTGGAGTGGCCCTTCACAACGTAAGCGAAACCCAACCCATGCCCAGAGGTTTCAGGAGGCTGGCTGTGTCAGGGGGGGATGGGGGGGGTCCCGGCGAAGATTTTGCTGAGTGGGGGTTCCTTCGAACCTACGAAAAACCCATGCCCACAGTCCTCAGGAGGTGGGCTGTGTTAGGGGGTGTGGGGGGTGGGGAGGGTCCCGGCGAGGATTTTGTCGAGTGGTGGGGCCTTCAAACTTAGGAAAAACCCATGCCCAGAGGCCTCAGGGGGCTGGCTGTGTCAGGGGGGGTGTGGGGGTTATGTCCCCGCGAGGATTTCGCTGAGTGGGGGGGCCTTCAGAACTTACGAAAACCCGTGCCCGAGGCCTCAGGATGCTGGCTGTGTGTCAGGGGGGGTGGGGGGTCCCGGCGAGGATTTTGCTGAGTGGGTCGACTTCTTCTATAAAACGTGCGAAAAAATCACTGCCCAGGTTCATGTGCAGGGAGGCTGGCATGTGTCTGTGGTGGGTGTGGGGTGGGGGACGTGTGAGGTGGGGTTTCCCTGGCATGTGATTTTTTGCTGAGTTGGGGGGCCGTCAACATGTCGTATTTAATCAGGGAATATAAGTTCCAGGTGGCTTCTGTGCCCGCAGCCTCACTAGCTGCGGCGTTCGTGTCCTATGGTGAGGGTGTTGGGGGGGGTGTTGGGTCCGTGCAGGGATTTTGTTGGGTTGGTGGTGTGACTATGTCGAACTGGCGAAACCCCCTGCCGTCGTGTCTAGTGCTTGTTTTCTGTGTCCCCGGGAAAGGTTCTTGGTTAGGAGGTGTCTTCAGTCTGTGAGGGTTTCTTTGTGCTTGATGTGGGGGCTCTATTCAGCTGTTTTGTTACTTTGTGCGTGAAACCCATTGTTCGTCCGATGTGCCTCTTGTGCGTTTTTTAGACGGAGCTCGGCTATGTTTTCGTCCGTATGGGTGGGGGTCCGCGGCTAGGATTCTGCTAATTGTGGGCCTAACTTACGAAAAACCCGTGCCCAGGGCCTAGCAGGACTGGCTGTGTCAGTGGGGTGGGGGGGGGTCCCGGCGAGGATTTTGCTGAGTGGGGGAGCCGTCAAACCTACGAAAAACCCATGCCCAGAGGCCTCAGGAGGCTGGCTGTGTCAGGGGAAATGGGGGGGGTCCCGGCGAGGATTTTGCTGAGTGGGGGGCCTTCGAACTTAGGAAGAACTCAAGGCCAGAGGCCTCAGGAGGCTGGCTCTGTCAGGGTGGGTGGGGGAGGTCCTGGCGAGCATTTTGCTGAGTGGGGGGGCCTTCAAACTTAGGAAAAACCCATGCCCATAGGCCTCAGGAGGCTGGCTGTGTCAGGGGGGGTGGGGAGGGTTCCGGCGAGGATTTTGCTGAGTGGGGGCGCCTTCGAACCTACGAAAAACAGATGCCCAAAGGCCTCAGGAGGCTGGCTGTGTCAGGGGGGGTGTGGGGGGGTCCCGGTGAGGATTTTGCTGAGTGGGGGGCCCTTCAAACCTACGAAAAACATATGACCAGATGCCTCAGGAGGCTGGCTGTGTCAGGGAAGGTGGGGTGGGCCCCGGCGAGGATTTTGCTGAGTGGGGGGGCCTTCGAACCTGCGAAAAACCAATGGCCAGAGGCCTCAGGAGGCTGGCTGTGTCAGGGGGGGTGGGGAGGTCGCGGCGAGGATTTTGCCGAGTGGGGAGCCTTCAAACCAACGCACAAATTTCAGCTGCGCCAGAAGCCTCCCGCACCCGAGGGTGCCCGCACCCACTTGACAAGGGGTGCGGCACCCCCCGCGCCGTCCAGCCTGGCGGTGCCAGTCTGAGCCGACGCGCGGGGCGCCAGGGATGCAAGTACCCCCAGGAGCGGGAGGGTGGGGCGAAAGCGCGCGCGCCGTCCGCCACGGCGGGACGCAAGCGCACATGCCTGCGAGATGCAAGCACCAATGCCTGCACATCGCACGACCCCGAGGCGCGCCGCGAACCGCCCCGACGCGATCCCCGCGGCGCGCCTGCACGGGGCGTTCGACGCAAAGCGAGCAGAAGAGCAGACTAGCCACGCGCGTGACGACGCACCCCCCCTCGCGCGCGGGCCCTTCGCGCGGGGCCGCGCGCCGCGAGGCACGTGCCGTCGCTCCCCCCCCCCCCTCGCGCGCGCAGGCCCTTCGCGTGGGGCCGCGCGCCGCGAGGCACATGCTGACGCCCCCCCGCCTCGCGCGCGCGGGCCCTTCTCGTGGGGCCGCGCGCCGCGCGGCGCAGGAAAGCGGGAGGCGGCCCGCGCGCCCAGCTTGCCCGCCCGCGCGCGGGCCAGGCGCGGGCGCGAAATTTGTGCCCGCGCACAACGCAGCACAAGCGAGCGCGCGCGCTTTCGATGGCGTTGGGCGCCCACCACAAATTTCAGCTGCGCCAGAAGCCTCCCGCACCCGAGGGTGCCCGCACCCACTTGACAAGGGGTGCGGCACCCCCCGCGCCGTCCAGCCTGGCGGTGCCAGTCTGAGCCGACGCGCGGGGCGCCAGGGATGCAAATACCCCCAGCCGATGCATGCTGGTGCACCGCGCAGCGGCGACGCGCGCGGCACGCGCACCCCTTGCGAAACGGGTGTTGCGTGCGGCGGCGCCGCGGTGTTGTGACACGCAGCGGCGGAGGCGTGCGCGCGAGGGCGTCGCGCGACGCCTGGGTCGCCATTGCCTAGGCAAGTTCGTCCTCGGACTCAGCTAGATGCGCCTCGACCACGGCGCCGAGTTCGAGTTGCGTCAAATCGAGGTACGACAGGAACGCGGGCGAGGACCATTCGCCCGCTTGAAGGAGCTCGCGCAAGGTGCCTCCCCTCTGCT